ATTTTAAACAGTATCTTTAGCAATATTAAATAAGGTGAAAGAATAGTTTATAATCAAACAAAAAAACAAAAAACATGAAACAGTGACTATTGCATAAACTCTAACGCCAAAAACGTTGCTAAAATAAAACTAGATTATGTTCTTTTATCCAATAATTCTATAAGAAAAAATTTGTGTTTTTCGAGTACAAACGCAGAAATACGATATTGAAACCTTTATTTATAAACTAATTATAAATTACAAAATTATTGTAATTTATAATTATAAATTACAATTATAAACTATAAATTACAAAACATTTGTAATTCATTACTAGTATTGTTTTATAATCAAGTGTTTCTAAAAGAATGGGTCGAAAAATAACTTGCGGTGCTCTAAACCGTGCTAAAGCTACTAAAAAAGCTAAAGAAGAAAAAAAAAATAGTCAGACTTTATAGGGTATGGAATTTATAACCATAACACAGACCAAAGAAAATGCCTCTTTTCCAAACACACAATTAAGCCCTCCAGTAGGTTAACTGTTTTTTGTATTAAATTTGTTTTCTTCTAACCACTTCTGCTATTATAATCTTTGTTGTTATTAGAAACATTTTTCCTTAAGGATTCCTACTAAAATGACCATGGTTTCCAGTAAGTTCATGAGGGCGTAGAGTAACCAATTAGCTTTTCTCCTCCTTCAAGATAGCCTAGTGCACAAAATATGTGTGATTCAAAGGACTGTGGATCAATAGAGGCCTTAAACAATTCATATGAAGCTGAGCAAAATAAATTTTAAAGTAAATCATCAAATTTAGAAGGAGAAACTTTTTCCAACAGGGAAGAACATGATGCTACACCTAACTTTGTAATAATTAATGTTGAACCCTCTTTGTTGCCAGTTATTTAAAGTCAAAAAACTCTCTATGGGCACGAAAGTAGTATCTAGAAGCAAGGAATCTCCCCTTCCTCGTTGAAACGAAGAAGCTAGAGATCAATAGAGTAAATTTATAGATTATGTGAAGCAGCATCAATCCAGCTTCACTGGTATAGATTTAGAGTTCCAAATCAACTCTGAGACAGCTAAGTGGATGACAATTCTTCGAAATTTAAATATTGTATCTATTTCATCATCATTCTTGATGGTACTCCCGATACATCTTATACTAAGTGAATAAACTTTGTAATTTGTTTCCTCCTCTAAGAAAAAGAAACTAATCGCTGGCAAATTAAAAAACAATTTTTGGGTGTTGAAGCTTTCGAGAAGAAAAAAGGAGTTGATACAGCCAAGCTTATCACAATGTGATTGTAAGGCTGGTTTTCATTATCATGTGTGAAATCATGATGTGATTGCAAGGCTGGGTTTAGATATTAAAAATTCTCGCGGTTAGGGATACGATAATGGATTCAATATGTCAAGTGCTTACAAAAGAAACTCAAATCATTATGAGGTTAATTATTTGGAAGCTCTATACGTTTCCTGTAGCATTCACAGAACCAGCCATCAAAGCTGAGAACAAAAAAATTAGAGATCACATTACTTTTTGAAAATATCAAATTTTTGAACGTATTTTTAGAGCGTGTCTTGCCCGAGGAAAGATCCACACTGAAATGACAGGAGCTTCACAGCATAAACTTTCTAAACAAGATAGAAATCTTGTACCGATGCAATCAAACCACTTGCTTAGAGGGCAAGAGAAATGTTGGCACCTCTTAAACTTGCCATGCAAAACCTGGATCTGACGAGCAGACCAGTAGCTAAGCCAAGAAAGAGTCTTAAAAAAATTGGTTATCATCTTTTGAATTTGGTTTACTAATTACGATTTGGTCAAAAAACCTTTACTATTGTTAACAACGTTAGTTCCCTTCTACAATCTGAAGCCATTCCCATTGATGAAAAGCTACGCTTAATTGGACAGCTGCTTATAATCTTAAAATAGTTATGGGCTCTTGTTTACCTAAGTGACTGTAACTAGACCGCTAGAGTTCAAAACTGAACTCGCTACTCAAAGAAAGTATAAACTGAAGCGCTTTCATGATGATACCTTAAACGCAGCACATTTCTACGACAGCCAAATAAAGGAATTCAAAGTAACCGTTTTAAATCTTATTTTAGATATTCTGATCATTCAGATTGGTTCAAGATTTGAGGCAAACAAGAAGTTTGGTAATATTTTTTCATACATCTGGTTGGATAATGATGATCTTTCTGTTCAAAACAAAGCTTGCGAACTGACACGGTTTTATCTGAGAGATGTGAAACAACTTTCATTAGCAGTAAAAGTAGCGTGTGTTCATGTTGTTAACGTAAGTTTCCGATGGTAACAAGGTAAAACTTATTTTATGAAACTCAAGACAATCGCTTAGCTGATTATACTATATGTACAGTATTGGACAAAACATTTGCAACCAACATCGAACAATGCTAAAAAGTGTTCCTTATTTTACATGCCTTAAAAACGAAACGAACTATACTACCACAGCAAATAGTTCAGGAGTCTGGAGTCATAGCATGCCATGACATGAGCAATCAGCTGACAGGTGACAGCACACAGGCAGAATTTCGTTGACAAGTGTCATTTTGCAGCGGAAAAAACAAGTGCAACTTTTTACGTTTGTTTCATTTTCTTAAATCTGGTTTGTGTCAACATCACGGAAGTTTTTTAATAATTAAAGAAAGTACCAAGAAGTTTCCGGAAGTATGCAGAAGTTTCCAGAAGTTTCCAGAAGAAGCATCTGGAAGCATCCACAAGCATCCAGAAGTATCCAGAAACTTTCAGAAGCATCCAGACGCATTCAGAAGTTTCCAGAAGCATCGAAAAGAAGTATCTAAAATCTTCCAGAACAGATTCACACAGGTTCATTTTACTATATAAGAGATATGTAAACCGACATTCATATACTGACGAATTCTGACTTTCATATACTGACGAATTCAGTCAGTATATGAAAGTCAATCAGTCAGTATTATCAAGACAGTTTATTGAAGTGATTTTTATCAAAGTATTTTATCGAAGAATGTCAATGCAAGAAGTGAAATACAACAAGTGTTTCATTACATCAATACAGTCCACATCCAACCAAGACGTTGTGTTCCACAGAGCATTATTGTATCATCACAAGGTAAATGTAACACGGTAATCCTTGAGAAGCGTGATTATTTATTTTTATTATTTTTATGACTTCAAGTGCAAAAATGGCTCCCGACAGTCTTGGATTGGAACTAAGATATTGGCGATTACGTTAGTGGAATGTCACAAAAAAGTATTTGTGATAAATATCGCGTGAAAAAATGGACCGTATCAAGACTATGTTTCAAATATCGTTCTACGGGGAAGTTGGCAGCAGATAACAAAGGAGGAAGACCGCGTTCCACCACTTCTAGAGAGGATTCTACGATCGTCAGATCCGTCAAGAAGGATCCCTGGATATCATCAGTCAAGATACAAAAGCAAATAGAGCTGCCTGTATCGGACCGAACAATTAGACGACGTGCTGTTGAAGCCGGATTGTTTTCTCGACGCCCTGCAAATAAACCGCTGATTTCACTAAAAACCAGAAGAAAAGACTCGTGTTTGCTCATCTCATATTGACTGGAATGTGCAGAAACAGTGAACTGTCTTGTTCAGTGATGAATTGAAGTTCAACGTCATTGGGAGCAATGATATGCCGTGTACGTCGACCGGCCGGAAAACGCCTCGATTTACGTTACTGCCATAAGACTGTGAAGCATGGTGGAGGCAATGTAATGGTCTGGAAATGTTTTTCTGCTAACGGTCTAGGTTTAATAGATCGAATCGATGGAATAATGGATCGTTTCATGTATAAGTATATCCTGAAAGATGTTATGTTACCTCATGCTGAATAGAATATGCCAATAAAATGGGTTTTTCAGCAAGATAACGATTCGAAACACACTGCAAAAGTAGTCAAGCAGTAGTTTCAAGACAACCACCTATCGGTGATGGATTGGTTGCCTCAATCTTCGGATCTCAACCCTATCGAGAACCTGTGGGAGATTGTCAACCGCAGAATTAATCGTGAAGGTGTTTGTAATAAGGATCAACTGTTTGAACAAATCCAAAAGGCCTGGGCAGCGATTCCACAAAGTTTCATTAATCACCTGATCGAATCTATGCCTCAAATATGCAAGGCTGTGATCGATAACAAAGGATTCGCCACGAAATATTGATAGTGAAATACAGCTTGGTCAACATTTGGTGGAGTTGCACTTGTTTTGTCCAGAAGGAAATCAACTATTTTTAATACTTTTGATTAATTTAATAATTTTCGTGTACAAATAATGAACTTTGTGATGAATAAAACTTGAAGAACGTTGTCTCAAAACAGTTACATAATTATTTCTCTAAATTGAAAAAATGCAGCACTTTTATATAAAGAAACTAAATTAGAATTATTTGGTTGCATTTGTTTTGTCCAATACTGTATATAACTTTGTAATATTTAAATTTGTGTTAAAAGTACCATTTTAAATAGCTGGGTATATTTTCGAAAGTGATATAGTTATAAATGAATCAAACTTTTTTTATGAGAAATATCGTGAAAGATAAACTGATTTAATATGCTAATTGAACTGCATGTTTGAAACAAGTATCTGTGACGAGAGACTAGTAAATTAGTAGAAAATATTTAGAATGTAGTTTTGATATTATGAAACTCAAATGATCTCGGCACAAAATATCAGATTTTTTTAAACAGAAAAGCAAAAACGTTTGACGACTTGTTTTAATTTTTTTTTATCTTTGATTCTATAGATTCTTTCTTAAGAATTAAATGTTATATAGCATAAACAAATGTTATATAACATCAAATTGCAATTAACTAATTTTATTGCATTTGATAGCAATTAACCAATTTCAACTACTACATGTATTTCAATTTACTTAAACAAGTATGAAGTGAAATCAAGCAAACCTTTTTTTGATAAAAACACGAATGTTTGTGTTAAGTAATAATTAATAACTTTATAGAAAAAAAGTTTTGTTCGGAAAAAATCAAAATACCTTTCCCATAACATACTCTCTATTCTCTGCTAGAATTTGTGTAGCCTTTTCCCATTCTGGTTGTAAAGCTTGACAGTGTCGGCACCTATTACGTAAAAGACATATGTAAATATATATAGACCTATCACGTTAAAGACAGTATGAAATATACACACATTTAAACAACATATGATAACTATAACTTTTGTTTTTACATGTAAACTTGATTTAAATTTAAAAAGACTTTTGTTTAAACGTAAAAACAGCAATCGCTTCAAAATTTTTAAAGATGGCATAACACAATAATCAACAAGTGAACAGAAATCTGTTTTTGGTTTCTTTCAAAGTAGTTGTTACAAACTAGAGTCAATTATCATTTTATATATCAAGCAACTTAATCCAACAATATATAACATATTGAACAACTTAATGCTCAATATGATATATAACCCTTAAAGCTCAATATATTATATAACTATTAACTAAGGGCTGCCGTGACTACCGTTTCAAATTAATTGTATGCAAAAATCTAACTTATCTAAATTTTAAACTGTGTAATATTAAAAGATATATAAAGTTATACAGTTTTATTTTTACTTGAAAATTGAATTGCGGCAATAACCCCCTTATTTTGATTTATAGCAATTGTTTGCCATTTTATAAAGTCTTTTAATCATTAATTAGTGTTAAAACAAGTGTTAAATATTTCAAACATATATCGAACAATACGCGTATGGCCGAAGTGGTTAGTTCGCTGCATTTTCGAAGTACGACGCAAGAGCTTAAATCCTGTTGCGTGCATATTTGTTATTACTTTTTAATCTTTTCTAATTTTCTAAAATACAAAATAAAACATTTTTAAAGTTTTATTGATGTTTTATACATAATATATATAAAGATATTATATACTATAACAAAAAAAAGGAGAGAGTTTATAAAAAAATTCTAGAAACATCAATTATTGGGGGGTTTTAGTAAGCTACGGGTGGTCTGGAAACAAACTTAATTAAAACTTAATAAGCCCGTACCCGTTTATTTTTTCTAATACAAGCTTATTATTTTACAATAAAAAGTTATAAAGTATTGAACATTAACTTTTAACTCAAAGCAAAAATTTGAAAGATTTTTATTTTCAACCACTCGGTGTAGTTAAGGGGATTTACAAAATATTCGAATACTTTTATTTGGAATTAGCATGATTTTGTCAGCATATTATGTCCAAACAAGATCTTTAAATGCTATAATTTTTTTGCTCAAGGTTTTTATAATATTTAAAAAAACTTTTCTTTTTTTTATACAATTTTCAAAACCTTTTTACTACCCGTAATATCTCAAGAGCACTAATTTGGAGTCTTTAGATCAATTCCGCTCATCGGCATTAATATGAATTTAGTTAAAATCTTTTGAAAAAGTTCCTTAATTTACTACTGATCCTAGTTCTAATCGATTCTGACGTATATTATAATGTTCCTTTCACATAAAAAACTTGTTAATATAAAATCTTATTTAAATTTGGACGAGCAATTGTGATTTTAAGATGATTTAAAAAAAAAAAAAAAAAGAATCATCAGTCTGGATTTTTTCGCTACAAACATTTATATTTTATGATACCGCAAAATTTATCATTTGAAGTTTTTTCATCTTTTCGTAATTCACAGACCAGGCCATTTAACGGAAAAATGTCGCAGTCAACAAAATATCATACAGACGCTCTATTATTTTAAAAGTGCCTTTACTACACCGAGCACTTACTAAAAATTATTGAAATAAAACGACAATATAAAGAATAAATATAGAAATAGTCGGTTTGAAATATAATTACCATGACCTGTATTATAGGGATCATGGTAAGTGTATTATAAGTGTATTAGTTTTTTAAACGTTTTATACCGAATGTAACACTTTTCAACACTTTTCATGCGGGTATTATTAAATATTAATTACCCGCATGAAAACGTTTGGCGGTTTGTTTTAACTTCATAGTTATTTCCAAATTCTAAATAACACTAAATATTATTTAGAATTTGCAAATAATTATGATAAGAATTTTAAAATCAATTTTCCATATTTCAATTAATTTTCCATTATTGATCACAAATACCCAACAGCTCTTTTCACAACTTTAAAATTCCAACGACTTTATTTAAAAAAACTGACTTCTCTATCTTATCTCGAGGACCACGGCTATGGAATTCGATCCTTAAAGAGAAAATAAGAAACATGAAGTCATTAAATCTCTTTAAAACAGCAGTCAAACAGCACCTGTTTGACTCATATGATGTCAACATACTCTCTTATTTGTAAAGATCAAATTATTATCACGTCATCACACTTTCAGTAGATATTTGTGCAAAAATTTTATATAATGAAAAAAAATTGTTTAAAAAACGAATTTTTCATAACGAAGAGGTTCCGATTTCGAACCCCACCACTGGTAGTACCTGGTCTCTGGTAGTACCGCGCTCAACTCGTTTCTCCGCGCAGCGGCCTTGTTCGTCAAGGTTCGTGTTTCGGAGTTATAGAGTTAAGAGAGGGTTATAACCACAAATAAGTAGCCTGTTCGTCTGTAGTGGCCTTCTCAAAAAAAAACCTAGAATCTTTTAAATATCAACTATCTTTAATTAATTGGGCCATTATTAAATTTACTAAAGATATTAATTTGATATAAAAATCTTTTTAAAAAAATTTTTATGAAACTTATGACATCAATTTTCCGAAAGTAGAAGTAAATTATAAACATAAAAAAACTCGCCATGGATTACTAAGGTTATTCTAAAATCTTTTAAAATTAAACAAAAACTTTGTATTAAATATTTAAAATCAAAAACAACTGAGAGTAAGATCATCTATAAAGACTACGTTAGATTATTTGAACGCCTAAGAGAAAATTCAAAAGAATATATATTATACTGATTTACTTGAAAAATTAAACTCCAAAAAAATGTCGCAATCTTTTCCCTTGGTTGTTGGGGTAGATGGTAATTTTTTTCTTGATCAAAAAAAAAATAATTGCTTCCGAATTTAATAAATATTTTGTATCTGTTGGAGCAAACCTAGCCAAAAATTAATAAAGGCAACATGCGACCCTCCAAAACTGTATCTAAATTATTATGATTTGTTTTTTGAAGTGCTTTTACATTGTTAAAGACAAATAAAGCAGTTGGCCCTGATGATGTCATATATTTAAAGATTCCTATATTTAAAGGAGGAGAAAAAACTAATGTGGGACACGGTCGTCCGATTTCCATTTTCTCTGTTTTTTTTTGTAAATTATAGAAAGAACTTTGTACAACAGAATATACAATCACAAAACAAATAATTATAAAACATGTAGTATGGATTCAAAAAAAAATTCAACAGAACATGCTATTATTCAGCTTACAAGAAATATATCAGACTCATTTAACAACTCTAAATTCACAACCAAATAAAAATTAAAATATTCCTCTTAAACTGCCTGATCTAAAAATAAGTAATACTAATATAAAAAGAGAAACTTTCATAAACTTTCTAGGTGTGGTCTTGGATGAAAATTTGTTTTGAAAGCTCCATATAAACACTTTAGAAAGAAAGCTCTCAAGAAATATTTCATTAATGTATAAAGCAAAACTTTTCCTAAATATCATTTCTTTAAAAAGTTTATAGTTTTCATTAATACATAGTCACCTAAGGTATGGTAATATGGCTTGGGCAAGCACAAATTAGTAAACAAAAACATGCCTGTAGAATTGACTTTAAAGTAAGTAAAAAAGTGTCTTGTGAACCTCTCTTATGCAAACTTGGAGCGTTGAATATATACAAAATTAACATACATATGGTTTTACAGTTTATGTACAAAATAAATATGGACTATCTCCGCCAATATTTTAACCCTATTTTAGCAAAATAAATACCTTACTAGATACCTTTACTCTCATATAAATACCTTTACTCTCATATAACAACTTTGTCATCCCAAAATTTACATTAAAGTTAAATTCATACTCAATCAAACACCGCAGACCTTATTTGTGGAAATTTTTCCCCCAGATTGTTACTATCAAAAGAAATACACTTGAACAGTTTAAATCTGAATCAAAGCGTTTTTTATTATCTACGGACTTTTCTTTTTACGGACTTTTCTACGGAATTTTCTTTTCTTTTTTTAGTAAAATAATATAAACTAGCACAATTTATTTCTTTTATTTGCTTTTACTTTTATTTGTTCTAAATTTATTTTACAAAACGAATTTATATAAAAACAGTTATAACAAATGTGAAACAGTTTTACAAATTTTTATATATTTTATCACAAGCATTTATCACGATTTTATATATTTTATTGTTTTATTATTTATGTTATTTTATAAATTGTAACTTTCTACGGCGTAGTTAAATAATATAAATATAAAATAACAATTGATCGGCGTAGTTAAATAATATAAATATAAAATAACAAGTTTGATACAATTGATCATAAAATTTTTGCTAAAATATTAAAGTATTATGATATAACAAGCAATGTTTTAAAATGATGGAAAAGTTATTTAACTTATCATAAACAATTTGTTTACGCCTATTGGGACCTCTTCTTTTCCTTATTTATATTAATGATTTATACAAAGCCTCGAATTTAATAACAATTATGTTTCCTGATGACCAATTAACATGCCTCAACTTGTTATTGACAATATACAAGTTAGAAAAGTAACAGTAAATAACTTTCTAGATTACTACGAGTTCATTTATTTTTTAATAACGATATATATATATATATATATATATATATATATATATATATATATATATATATATATATATATATATATATATATATACATATATATATATATATATATATATATATATATATATATATATATATATATATATATATATATATATATATATATATATATATATATGTATATATATATATGTATATATATATATTGTATTTTAAATATTGTAACGAAACGCTTATTTAAAATGTAATAAAAAGAACAAAAAAAAAACTTATAAAAAAAAATAATTACATGACCAGGGCTAGAAGAAGACAAATTTAGTCTTATCTTTAAGCCCCAAAAAATGGGCTTGTTAAGACTGCAGTCTTCAACTTGCTCCTATCGTTATTTCAATTTATCTTATTTATAAATGTATACATACAATTATACTTGTATTTATAAATGTATTAAAGTTAAATGTATGTAAAATAAATAGTGACAAAATAAATAAATTTATTTAAAAAAAAAAGAAGTAGTTGATCTTTAAGCTTAACAAGCTATTTAAATTTTTATAATTAATAATAATTTTAGGCTCTGCGAGGGAAAACTTTTGATCTTTTTTGTTTTGTTTATTAACAATATACCGCAAAACCCCCTAACTCCGGATGATTTAGTACTTAAACCATCATAACTTGCTCATTATAAAAGACTTTGGAATAATTTTTTTTTAATAAATAAACTTCATAACTAGGCAAATCGAACGATATAAAAAAACTTTGTTTTTTTAATTTAAATTTTTATTTTATTTTATTTTTAAAAAGTATTGTTTTATCCAGAATTAGGTGTCTGTGTCCCTAATTCCGGATGCGTATAATACATAGAAAAAATACACACACAAATAATGCAAACATTAAGCAAATTAATTTAATCCATAAAACAAATTGAAATGTTTAATTAAAAAAGAAAATAAATAATTTTATTCATATTCGTTACAATAAATTCCATAGTTAAACGATATCCGACGACACACGCAATGCAAGATTAATTAAAAGACTACTCACATGCAAGCCATTGGTTATCTAAGCTAATCGCCCAATAATTTTTGCAAGAATAACAAAGAAAGTTATAAGATCTTAAAGTACTATTTGAAGCTTGACGTAAATGTGAGTCTTCTGATTGATTCTTTGTCTTTTGACCTTTTTTACCTGGTGTATTACCCGACTAACTTTGTTTCAATTTTTTTTTTCCTTCTCTCTTCTGTGCATTTTCTGCTTTTTGAGTAGTAATGGCAACGTTTTTTTTTTTGCTCTCTCAATTTCTTTGCAGCTTGTTCATCTTTTTGTTTTTTTGACGCTTCATCTTAGTCGCTATTCTCTCACCTTTTTGAACTCTTTTATTAAGAGTTGGTGTTAATTGATTACGAGGCATATTTAACACTGATTTGTTTATATCTTTTCCCACTTGTTGAACGGCATTATTCAAAGTAGCAAAGCTTTTAAGCGAAAATTCACGATTTGACATTCTTGATGGTGTGTTAGGTGTATTGGTCGCATTTCCCAAAACTAATAAACTAGATACTGTTAAAGAATCAAACAAATTTTCAATATTATTATTTTTAACAGCTTGAAACATAGCACCGATGGAAGTTTAGAAGAAATTTGCGAACGATTGAGTGGAAATATACCAGTATTTTTGAAACCACTCCTTGTATTTTCAGGTCTAAACTTACCATTTTGGATGAGATCCTTAAACATGGCTGTGAAAAATGGCTAGTTTTTTCAGGCACAAAATAATAATTACCTCTATCCGGATTAAGGTGTCTTTTTTTTTTGCTGGTAGCAAATTTGTTTTTAATTTTTTTCAATTAATTCAAAGAGTAATTAACTTTTTTTTTTAACTCAAATATTTTTAATTTTTAATTATTTCGTTGCAAATTTAATTTTTTTTTTTTTTTTTTTTTTTTTTTTTGTTAATTTATTTATGTTACATTTCAAATTGAAATCTTTCATGATTGCATTATTTTATATAATTTTTTTTTTTATTGATCGATTTGCCTGACGTTAATTAACTAGAAAAAATAATTCAAAATTTCGTTATATTAGGCGAGTTATGAAACTATTTACTAAAACCTCCGGAATAAGGTTCCATCCGGAATTAGGGGGCTTTACGGTATAGCGTTGCGTAATTTATGAACAATCCCTAAAGCGACTTTTTTTTCTTTCTCTAAAGTAAAAAGCAAGCGATGTTTCAAAAGTTACGTTTTTCGTGCGCATAAACGAGCCCTTATGATATTGAAATGAAAGATGAAATGGTAAATTAGAAATGTTCTATGTAGTATCTGGCATTTTTGATAAAATACTGTTGATAAAATAGCCCCAGAATCTCTCGGACTAAATAAATATAACATGATCTAAATCTTACAAATTGTTTTTAAAGATATAAAAAAAGTTCAAAAAATTTCCAGTTAATAAATGTTTTATTAAAAAAATATAATTTAAAAAGGTTGGTGTAAAGCTTTACTACTATAATTCGGGAGAATAAGCGCGAACTGGGATAAGTGCGAAGTGTTGCAAAAACTGGAATAAATGCAAATTGGTAAAGTGAACCGAACAAATTTGCAAACATTTGCATAAGTGCGAATTGGCATAAGTACGAATTGGCATAAGTGCGCCAAACAAATTTGCATTCGCATAAGTGCGAACGGGCATAAGTGCGAATTGGCATAAGAGCGAAACATTTATGCCAATATTTGAATTTTATTCGGCGTACTTTTGCCAATTCGCATTTATGCCAGTTCGCACTTATGCCAGCTTTTGTAACTGCTTCGCGCTTATGCCAGTTCGCACTTATGCCAATTCGCACTTATGCCAATGTTTGCAAATTTGTTTGGCGCACTTATGCCAATTCGCACTTATGAAATTCGCGCTTATACAGTCGTTCCCTATAGTTCTAGTGTTTTTAACAAGAGTGTTCGTTTATAAAAGCATTTGGATTGTTTAAATAAAAGAAAAAATTAATTAATAAAATAACAATCAAGATTTTATGTGTTAAAAAATGGACAAAAAACTTACTTTTATTTTAATGTTTTTTTTTCTGCTTCTGTATTTGCATGATAAAGTCATAATTTATATTACGATTTTTAAATGGGTGTAGCTGAATGCAGTTGATACAAAGTATCTGCTTTGTTGTTTTGTTATTGTTATTTAGTGTGTCATTATTATTAAACGTTTGGTTTGAGTCGATGTTTCAGTTTTTTGTATTGTTGCATTGGTATATTATTTTTTATTTTATTAATAAAGTGTTTATTTGTAATAGTTTTAGTTATTGCCGTGTTGTTGTCACTATTGTACTGGTCGTTATTGTTGCTGCCAAACTTGAAGTTGTTGCAGTTTTTATTGATGTTGTTGTTTGTTTTTGTCGCTGGTGTTATTGTTGGTATTGTCTTTGTTTTGAATCTAATACTAATAAAAATATATTAGAGAATATTATTTAAAAAACTACATTAGAATAAGTATTACAGAATACAACCAATTTTAAATTTAATGTGGTTATGAATCTTTCTTTTATTTAGATTTTATAAAAGTATTTTTATCTTATCTTAAAACTAATATTATACAATTCTTAACAAAAAAACTTTTCAAGAATCTGCAGTAATACCTATCTTTAATGTATAGATATAGCATGTTTTTAGGGGTCTTAAAAATTTACTTTAAGATGTCAAATATTCTGCATTTGTAAGTGTTTTGTATTCGTAAGTGTATCGCTCACATTATAACTCATTTGAAAAACAAAAGAAAAACTTAAAACAACTAGAGATTTAAACGTTTATATGGGAAATTTGAGTTACTTCGTCCCCTTCCCCCCCTATGCATGGGCACGTAGTACATGGGATGTAAATTGCTTAAATATTATAAAATACGATGACATAAATCAAATAGTATTCAGTACAATTGTATATAAATTAAATTACTCAATAGATTGGTAGGAGCAATTCTAATTTTTCACGTAATTGATCGTAATTTCACGAATTTTACTGTTGTAATTTTTTTATGGTATTAAGTCAAATATGACCTTTTTTTTTTATTCCGACAGTATTCCGACAGTATTCCGACAGTAGCCAATTTTTTTGTTACTCTGCTCCTTATAATGCTCTTATATTACCCCAATTATATAAAATGGCATTAGAAAAAAAAATTGAAACAGGAACCTCCACACTATTACCACAACAAACAGTATATAAAATATAATAATAGTATATAAAAACAAGATTAATGATTGTAACAACATAATAAAAAAACTTACCAAGGCATTATAAACTCAACAAGCATTACATCTTTATCTCGAGTATACAAGTCAAAAGACACTTCAGTCAGTTCAAAAACTTGTGAAATAATGCTCATAAAAGAGCAGGCAAATATAAAAATTTGAAACAACAAATTTCTCTTTTTATTCGACATATCAGATGCACGACGAGCACGATTAAAGTCTTTTATTAAATCATAAACGCTCTAAAAACATCTTTCTATTCAGCAGGACTTTAAGTTTTATAATGTTTTAGCTATATAGCTCATTAACGTTTGTACAAATAGAAAGAAATACTCTGTTCCGCACGTTAAACCATTATACGTCAAAAAATTTTTTGCATTTTTTTTTTATACAGTTTGCATAAATTTTATATAAAAACCAAAATTAAAATCACGTAAATTTTCTATTAATATAAAAATAATGTACTTTTTTTTTCTTAATCTGAGAACATTTCCTGTATTACTAATATAAAATGTTGTTGATGATCAGCATATTTAGTGAACCATTTCCAAGGGTGCACAACGAGGCCTGATTGTTATTGAGGCGTGCAAGAACTGTATATGTTTGTATCGTTTAAGATATTGGGTATGCCATGCTATTTGGCATTGTTTGGGTCAGATATCAAATCAAAGCCGATTGAGAGGTTAAACAATATAGCAGCTTTATTGTGCTGAAATATATTTGGAAACTAACTAAGAAACAATGTTAAATAACAATTATATAAAGTTTTGATAATTTAAAGTAGTTTCTTTTTTTTTTTTTTTTTTTGTAAATAATTATATATTTATTATAATCTTAAACAACGAAATAAAAAAAAAAAATTTTTATTAATAAACTGCGAAACACAGAAGACACAAAATATCGCGTCCATTTATAGTTGTTAATAAAAACATTAGCGAAAGTTTTATATTTATTTATATAAAATATAATGATATTTATGAAAGTTTCTAGTCTACACAATAGTAATTAATAGTTAAATATTATCTAAGGTTTGGCGCCTGTAATTAGGAAAAGACGACAAAATATATATTATATAGTTTACTAATACTTAAATTTCTAGTCTTAAATTTAATAATAATAATACTTAAATTTCTAGTCTACACAATAATAATTAATAGTTAAATATTATTAAAGGTTTGACGCCTGTAATTAGGAAAAGACGACAAAATGTATATTATATAGTTTACTTATATTTAATATGACAAAAGTTGGTTTAAATGTTTAATAATAAGACAAAAATCCACTGAGATAAACAGGGAGAAAGTGAAACAATAAAATTTACTCATCAAACAAGTTTATTGTATTTTTAATTATGGAAATAACAGGTGAATAACCTAGTGAATTTGTTGATTATGACGTCGTAATACTTTAACATTAAAGGAGTCACAATTTGCAGGGGTGTACCCATAAAGGAGAGGGTAGGCGCAAATTACCCCACTCCACCCACTTTTTAGATTTTTTGTTGTATATCTACGTATGCTCGCGTCATTACTTTTCCTTTCCGTTCCCGTACCCGTTAAAAAATGGACAAGCGTAAGAGCACCTAATTTAATTGTGGCAAAAGTTAGATGAACTACCAAAAATAAATAAAATTACAATATCACGTATTAAAAAAAAAGAAACAATTTATTAGCAACATATAAATATACAAGAAGACAAAAAATATGTATTTATTATATAAATTTATTATATGTATTTACTATATAAATTCCCTTTGTTGTCAAACGGTAATCTACTTTAGGCCACATTTTATAATATACTTTTATAAAAAAACAAATTGTAAATGGAGATTCTCGCAATAAAATTTTTTTTTTTGGAATTGATTTATCAAAAACATTTAATAATTACTTCTTAAAAAAGGAAATCATTCACAAACATTTATCATTGTTCAAACATCTTTAAAACACAAACGTTTAAAAAGGACTTGATATTTAAAAATGTTTGTGGACAAACTTCTTTTTTAAAGATAATAACTTTGTGGACAAACTTCTTTTTTAAGATAATTACTTTGTAGACAAACTTCTTTTTTTAGATAATAACTTTACGGACAAACTTCTTTTTTAAGATAATAAATTAGCGATATTGTGGATAAACTTCTTTTTTTTTTAGATAATAAATTAGCGATATTGTCGGTAAATAATAATTTGTATAATTGTTAGAAAGAAGTATAATATTAACTCCAACTATTTTTTTTGTAAATGTTATTATATATTTTACTCTTGCAGTATGCTGATCACGACACTGGTGTAATTTTATATAGAATATAATTTAGTAACAATAATCATATTTTTAAACAATTCTTCGAATTTCTCTGATTTTCTGATTATTTTAATAAAAGAGTATTTTTTTTCCATGCTAAACTTAAGTTTCCAAATAAAATCCTATTATATGATAAAGTTTTTTTTAAATAAATTTTTTAAAGTAGGTTTTTCAATCTTTAAAAAATGTGTTTAAAAATGCCTTGATATTTTATTCGGCTTCTCAAACGTTTGCGCTTGTTTTAATAATAAATTCGATATCTTTTTTTATGATTTCACCTAATTTTTAATATAATTTTCTCCTAATTTTTGAAATAATTTCCTATTTTAGATTTTTTATTTGAAATAATTTCCTATTTTAGATTTATTTAATTTATAATAGCTCATCAATTATTTGAAAAATTCTCAAACAATAAAATGAAGAATATATATATATTCTTTCTAAAAATAACCAAGATTATATTTCCATTTTATGAAGATTTCCATTGTTGGTCTTGCGCAACAACTCATAAATGTCTAACGACTCTCCTAAAGAAAAAACAAAAAAATAAATAAATTAACATAAAGATTTCAGGAGTTGTATTAATCTTTTACAATTTACATCATCAATTTTAAACAATATACAACTATTAACTAAAATAAGTTTATTTGTTTGCTTCTAATTTCGTTACATTCAACAAACATATGATATATATAGGGATACGAAAATTAGAATTTTTGTATTTATTATTTTGTATGCAGTTACTTATTTTTTCTCATGACTTAGCTGCCTGTTCAAGCCAGAAACATTTGATAACTAAATATCTAGATAAAACTAAATTGTATAGCTTTATGATCAAATTAAATTGTATTACTGTACGATCAGATTTGTTAATTTAAAAAGTATGGTAAAAAAATCGAAATAATAAAATTGTACACGCTTAATGTAAATTTTCCTGATTAAATAAACAGAACGTGTGTTCTGTTTAAGTTTATCTAAATTTCTTTGTTTATATAAATTTAATTATATTTTATTTTATAAATTTATTTAATTATTTAAAAAAGATCTAAATTTTTAACTTGTCTGTTTTTATTGTACACTAATTTTTTAAGTTCCAAAAATCTTTAATCTGACGTAATTCTGGAACATTTGCAGGTTTATGTACCTTTGGTACAAACTCGATATTTTTGGATTTTAGATAGTAAGATTACTTTACATAAACAATGTGAAAAAGCAAGACCAGAAGAGAAAATAATATTGTCATTTTTATGATATTTTTCAATGAATTTCTCTAATCTGAGAGTACGTTTTGAAATATACTCATTTTCATTGACTGCTTAGCTCGATGGAGCAATGAAATGCTAGGAGATTCCTTATTATCAAGAATGCAAATTCAAACAAGTAATTTCGGCTCGAAAATTGTTTTTTTATTTCAAAAAATCCATAATTTTGGAGAGTTTTGCATTATTTAATCATGAAGATACAAAAAAACATGCACAAATTTATACCCAAAGTAAGCCACGTTTATATAACAACCATTTGAGTAGATGTCATAATTATGATCTAAAATAGATCTTTAAAAGGATCTATTTTAGATTTAAAAAAAAAATAAATTAAAACAAAGATTAAATAAACCATCTACACAGAGTTGTCTAATGAACTAAGATGTAAAATTACAGTTCTGTTTTTCAATTCATAAACTTTTTTAGAGTTTTAAAATAATATGTAATACAATTATTTTATAAAATTATTACCAGGTGTTATTCCATAACCTCTGAGCAAACCATGAGGGTTAGAAGGAGTCACACAATCATTATCAACTTCCTTACGAAGAACTTTATCGATTTCCACACTGCTGAAGAATGCAACAGACTAATAACAAAATAATTTAAGTATTCAAATTATTGAGCATCATAACAAAACATAGAGCAAAAAAAACAACCTTTTTTATTAACTTTTTGGTTAATAAATGGCTTTAAGAAAAACAAACAATAAACCTGTGGTAAATCATTAAGTTGCAATTTATAAGCAAACAATGCTCTGGTGAGCAAGTTAGATATTTGAAGCGCAAGTGCAGCCCGATACTTATCTTTCTCATGTACAATATAACGAACCTAAATATACAAAATACTTTTTATGAAAAAATACATCAATAGGACAAGCTGAAATGAAAAAAAAAAACAATTAAGAAAAACTAATCGCAAAAAAAAAAAAAAGAAAAAAGAAAAAAAAGAGTAATTAAAAATAAAAAGGAAAGAAGTTATCTTTTTTAAAACATAACATCAAAAGGGTTACAGTTGAGAAGGCCACCTTATTATTATTACTATTACAGTGAATGCTCTATATAAGCAACTCTTTAGAACCAATTTCAATAAAAAAAAGTTTCTTATTGGAAAAAGTTGCTTAAAGGGAAAAAAAGGAGTATAAAAATACATACCATCTATATTATATATCTATAATATATTTTATTATATCTATAATATATTTTATTATTATATACTTATTTCTTTTACTAACAAAACTGTGTAGAATAAATAAACTCTAAAGTTTTATTCTGAAAAAGAAAATATTTTAATATTATTATCATATAAGGGTAGATATTAATTTTATTTAAAAAAATAAACAATCAAATTTTAACAAGTCTTTGGTTTAGTACAGAACTTGTTGCTAAAACAAACAAAAACATTTACATATATTTGATCATGATCAGCTTTTTCTCTTATTTTTAGTAACAAAAGAACATCATTGCAGGGTAAGCCATTTTATTCTGCGCATTCTATCGCCAAATTAAAAGAATTTATAACATCATTGATGTTTTTATTGGAGTCACCCAACGTTTTTTTCATTTTCTTTAGCAGGAGTAGTTTCACTTTCTACTTCAGGATTTTCTTCAAGGTTAAAATGGATGATTTGGCTCGCTTTTTTGACTTGCCCACTCCATAATTTCAGTATCTGCTAAATTACAATCATTAAATATTGAATTATACAATCTTGCCAAGGGAATATCATCTTCTTCTGAAAAGTGATCGGAAGGAATGTTGTATTGAATCATCACTTGATGAAAAAAGATGTTTAAATGAATTTTGTATAACTGACACAGGAATTTCATTCCAAGCCTGCACCATTAAATAAATAGGATCTTTTAAATTTATATTTTTCAGTGTTGAAACTATTCCATCTTCTGCATTTAAGGCTGCAAGCCATACAAGTAAATGGTTGAGATAGCGTTGTTTTAGTGATTTTATCACATTTTGCATATCATAAAAAGCCATTTTCAGCAAAATTATTTTTTAATGAATTAGCTAGCTCTACTTTGCAAGACATACTCTCTCCACAAACAGACAAAATCTGTAAACCATTTTTTAAATTTTGTTAACCATCCATCACTTGGTATAAATGTTTTAAGCCTATTATTATAATCTATTTACTTCAAGTGCTTTTAATTTTATCATTTCATTTGAAACTAAATCATTTAATTGTTGCTGCTCCAAGAACCAAGAAAACACTGTATCGTCGATTTCACTATTTTTTATTGTTTTCATTCGCTTAATTGTACTCAGATTCACATATGTTTTGGTTGCATATTCTTCTAAATTTTCTTTATTTTCTTTTACTCTACTTATTGTAGATCTAGCAACTTTATATTAGTTACCATTGGTTACAAATGTCCTTTGTTTTCTTACCATTTTCAATGTCCTTTAAAATGGATAGCTTATTCTTTAACGAAATTGGACATCTCTTTTTTCTTCTTCTGATTTATATTTATGCTTAAATTTAAAGCACAAAAATATTAATTAATTTATTAATCAACATAAACTAAAAGAATTCAAGAAACTATTCTATTTAACAGAAATTCACTTCAATACTTGCAGCACAAAAAACAAATATATTCCAACAACAGAATTTTTTACAATTTGAGGTCATGTTGTTGTGACCAACTGATTTTACTTCTGGATTAGCCTAAACTTAACTCAAATATTTAGCTTTGAAAAAAAAAAGTTGTTAACACAGAACAGTTGAAAAAAAGTTGCTTGAATAGAGGTTGCTTATAAAGAATGTTGCTTATAGAGAGGTTGCTTATATAGAGCATTCACTGTATTATTATAAATATAAAGTTTATACAATTAAGGATCAGTAAGATTATTTTTTAAACATATATAAAACGATAAGTTTATTAGTGCAAAAAAATGTAAAACTACTTTTTCTTAACATCCAGTTAACAATATAAAAAAATATTATATTGAAAATTTTGTAAATTAAAATCAAAAACTATTTTGAAAAAATTTAAAGACATTGATTTTAATTTTGTAAATTAAAATCAATAGACAAAAACTATTTTGAAAAAGTTAAAATAAAGTTATATATTTTTTTAAATTAATTTCCAGTTAAATAAAATACTGGTAAACAAGAATTTTTACTATTGTCTCTTCCTTTAAATAGCATCGATTGGTGATGATATAGGTTCTACTCTCAAATGATTCAAGCTTTTGAGTGTTAGTTATATTAAAAATAACTGAATAAAGTAATATAACTTTTAAAATAAGTAAAAACATTTTTTCTTGAAACTTTGCAAGTTTTTACTTTCCAATATGCCAATGATGTTAATAAACAACTTTTTAAAAACCAGAATGAATGATATGGCATAACAAAGCAAACTGTTCTTTCAATTAAAAATGAAAGCATTATCCAATTAACAGATCGCTAAAGGTAAAACAGCAGTTCTTGTTTGATATAAACCATTGTTTCAATTAAAAGAATAATTTTGCTAAAGTTTTACTTTTGCTTATACAAGTTTCTTCAAAAATTTTTGTTTAATTTGTTTTTGTATAAAGTAAGTTTTTCTAGTGGCACTTGATTATACTTTAAAAAAACTAATCTATAAACAAAGAGATAATTCCATGAATAATAGATCCAATTGTTACAGACCAGTCTGGTCTGCAACATTTCATGATTAACAGATCTAATTGTTACAGACCTGTCTGGTCTGCAACAAGAATTGCAGACCAAATCTGCTACAATAATTAACAACATTTCTATTGAACCTAGTGATTTGCAGAAGTGATTAGCTCATCTTTTGCTCGTCCAAAAATAAAAAGTTTTCACTAGAGTTTTTCAATGCAAACTTTTGTTTTCAGACAAATTTACCAATATGGCCAAAGTAACGTTCTCTTAAGTTAATCAAAGATTTTAATCAAAAAATTTCAGAATATAATTTTTCATTTTGAATTAAGGTTTTGTAAACTATGGAGCCCAGGGTTCAAGCCCCCACTAGCGCCCCTCAATCCAGCACTGCATCAACATTTTGATTGAGGAACATCACACACAACAGATTGGTCCTCAATATACATTATTAGTATAAATAACTCTTTTCTCAAATAAATTATTTTTTTTTAGTTCATATATTCACTGACAATAAAAATCTTTTACATACCAATAAAAGATATGAACTTAGATGTAAAAATGTAAATTCATATCTAAAAGATATAAGTTATTGGTTAAATGGTAATTTGTAACACAGAAAAAACTTTTTTATATTTCCTAGAAAAATTTCAGCAACAATGTTATAAATAAAAAAATAAAAATAAAAAAATATAATATATAAGAACAGAAATAAAAATAATAAAAGAAGCAATAAATATTCAAGAGTTATTTAACATTTTGGTGCAATCTTTTGACATTAACATTGACTGCAATCTTTTGTGAAACTTTCATATTGATGATTGTTGTAAGAAATCAACTTAAAATGAAAATATGTTTTCAATAATTTCTTATATCAAAAAAGTTACTTTTAGGAAACTAAAACTTTGCATTATTTTCACGAGTTTAATTACTGTTGTCAGGTATGGGGTCAAATTGGCAACTATCACATTAACAAATTTCTGTCAACTTTAACCCATTAATCAATTAGAAAAATAACTTTCAGCCCTTCATGGCCTACTTAAATTACACGGCCTGATTTGTTGCATTTTCCGTAAAAAATTAAGAGGCCAGTTTTTTTACGGCTCAAGTATAAAAACTTAATTTTTCTTATGGTTAAGAGTCTTGTTTACACTATAATTGTTTTATTTTTATTTTATTAAAATGGTTTAATAATAGTTAGATTTTCTTTGAGTACTCATATTATTTTGTGCTGGATTTTCTGTTAACTGATTGCCAGAAATTAAATATGATAAATAACTTATAAAACAATGATAAAAATTGTGCTGCGTTATTTCTTTCAGAAAAATAACTCTAAATTACAGCTGCAGTTGTTTCGTCAAATAATGTCAATGTTGACAACTTGTTTGTTGTTTCCAAAATATGTGACTTGATAATTAATTTTTCTTGCTTTTTTTTGCCTGTTTAATAATTGATCTTTTCATAAATTTTAAGAAATATATTCCCTGTAATGTAATCAGCAGTAACTTCAACAAGAAGAAAAAAACAAAACCGAGAACAACAAGTATGTTTTAAACACTCCTTTTCTAAACTAAATGATATATTAATAATTTTCCATCTCCAGTATATGCTTTATGAAACTACTCTAACTAATTAAGCTATGGAGGTTGATGTCAATACAAAATAATAAATATAAAAAATATAATAAAACCAACAACAAAATTAATGAAAATGAAATAAAACAATTTGCAAACAAAACAAAGACAAAATACCTAAATATGTATACATACATATACATACATATATATATATATATATATATACATACATATATATATATACATATACATATATATATATATATATATATATATATATATATATATATATATATATATATATATATATATATATATATATATATATATATATATATATATATATATATATATATATATATATATATATATAGTATATATATATATATATATATATATATATATATATATATATATATATATATATATTATTTTTTATTTACTCTTAATACATGCGTATGTATATATAAAATGATATGTTTTGTAAATTTTTTTAAATACAGGTGGTTGCACCCCAAAAGCCACGCGAAAGTAGGAGGGTCTAGATTTATTTTCTAGGGACAGATCATAATTTTGTTAATATGGGTTCTGAAAGATAAGCCTAAATAGGGTTCTTCCTGGTAGGTATGGTTTTTTAA